ATTAATAATAAATAAGCCCTATTGAATCCCTTTCTTTTTTTTCAATTTTTTGTGGGGAAGATGATCATTTTCCTTCCAAATTTGATTTCACTTTGGTCTAATGAGACTAAAATAAAATTCCATATCATCTAGGGATTGATTGGAGATCAAGCCCACATTGTGAGGCTTAAATGAAATTCTCTTATTAATAATTATAATTAGCTAACTTAGCTAAATAAGTCTTAAATTGAATACTATAGAAGTACTTGATATATAATAAAATTCAATAAAAGACTAAAACCCCAAAAGTGTCAAAAAGTTCAGCCTTGTTTAATTATTGATTTTGAAAACAATTTTTTTTTTGAAACCAATAACAAAGCCTAAGCCCATTTAGTGGGTTCAACTATATGAATCACACAGCATCATTGTGCTCTATCAATGACCAAATTTTTGTATAGATTGTTAACCAAAATATTTCACTCAATAATTTAATTAAGTGTTCTTTTCGGCCTTCTTCTACCCTTTTTTAGAGGATTCCCTATTGTTTGATGGGAAATTTTCATTTAATCCTCATTATAGCTAATTTTTATCTAAATGCACCCATAAAAATCTAAAACTTCACTGCAATTTCATAAGTGTGAAATCAAATTAATTTTTGGAGCAAAAAGACATTATTACCCCTTAAATATGTTGATCTGAAACTTGAAATAAACAGATTTGATAAATTGCTCACTTGAAAGCAGTGAAGCTCCTCTCTAAAAACCTATTACTCGATCCTCTAGCTATTGTACATGTTCTTTTGTTAGCGTCATCTTTCTGCTAAGCCCATTGTGTTTTAGAAATTCTCATCTTCTTCATCTTAGTTGTTGAATAGTTCTAGTTTGTGATAGGTGATTAGTGTATCAAAATAGGTATCTTAATGAGTAGGTAATCAGTTGGAATATGTTATGTCATGAGGTTTTAAAGCAGTCAAATAAGAAATGAGGGAGCGCACCTGTGTTGCAATCTAAATGAAAGGATGACGTTGATTGAATGGGTGATGTTAAACTAAGTTGTCCAGAAAAATTATAATTGTGTGGTGTGAAAATGCGCATTTTTCATGTGAGTTGGCAAATTCTAGTTGCAAATTTATATTTTGTTTAAGTTTTGGTAACTGATTGAAATTGGCACATTAATTCATTCATAACTAAACTAGGAACATTAACAATATAGATAGAGAAATAGACAACAAACATTAGATGATACACAACAAGGATAAGTCAGTGTACAGCTAAACATAGGTATTTACTACTAGAGTAGGCAAATTTACAAATAAAATATGAGAATTTACAACCAATATAAGGTGATTCACAATAAAGATAAGTCTATTCATAACTAGGGCTGAGCATGTAACCCGAAACCTGGCCACCAGCCCGCAACCCGGCGAAATTGGGCCCGTTTGGGACCGCCCAAAAAAGAAAATAAACGGGCGGGTTTACAAATTAAATGGGCAAGCTACGGGCACAGGCACGGGTTGCCCGTACCCGCCCATTTATTTATTTTTTTTAAATTGAAGAAAATGACACATTGATAACCCCAAGCCCAGTCCTGCAGTCCAATAATTGAAAGCCCAGTCCGAGTGAGTGTCCGTGTAGGCGTGTACCGTGTCCATCTCTGGCTCTCTACATCTCCGAAACTGAAAGAAAGATTGAATGTCTGTGGTCTGAAATTCTGAAATCTGAATGTCTGGTCTGAACCGCTTCACGCCTTGTCCCTTCGCTCTCTCGGACTCTGATCTCTCACTCTCTCCTCTTTAATCTCGTCTTCGTCGGTCTCCCGTCTCCTGGCTTCCGCACTCCCGGTCCCGGACTCCCGCTGAGCTGAGCCTGAGTGAATCACTGAATCCTTAATCCTGATCGGCTGATCCCCTCGAGTCGACCTCGAATCCTCGCCTTGACCCCTGAATCTGATCTCTAATATAAATCTCGTCTCAGCTCTAGTCGGTCACCACTCACCGTCACTCGGTCTCTGTCTCCCCTGATCCGGTGATCCCCTTGAGTCCTCACCAGTCGCCTCGTCCTCGCCTCAGTCAGACCGTCACTCACTCGCTCGGTGTCTGTCTCCAACTCCAGACTCCAGTCGACCTCGAGTCCTCGTCTCCTCGCCTCCTCGATAACTGTCACTCGGTGTCTCTGTGGCCAATTCCATGTCCTGAAGTCACAGACCCAACTCCCAAGTCCCAACTGAATCTACTCGGTCTCCATTCTCCACTGCACAGCCTCGCCTCTCAGGCTCTCCCCACACCCACTTGCTCTGCTGCTGATCTTTCAGTCTCTCTCGTCGATTCCAGGCTCCCAGCTGGCCAGCTCAATCTCCCTGAGTAGTCTCTATCTCTCACGAAGGATCGCAGTCACGGCGTCACCGGTCTATAGGTATACTCACAAAGCTGGCAGGTTTCAACTTCCTCTTCCTATATCGAGTTTTCTACTTTTCATGTTGGGTTTTGCATTGTTGTTTCAGCCTGGTTCACGCCCATAAGCTGTTTGATGAAAATACACAACTAAAAAATGTCGAAACTTTACATAGCAAGTCATCGTGCTTTATTGGATTTTGTATATTATATGTAAATGTAGATATTCATCTGGCCTCATCTGCACAATTCCCTGACCTAGGTATTACCATATTCACTATACTGACATGCATGCAAACTACTCTGGCAAAGGATTTGATTAGCTTTTAGATGTTATTAACAAGATAAAGCATAATCTTGATGTTATATATAACTGTTAGTCTGTTATTGAAACAATTTGTGTGCACACCGCATTTGCAATATATAATTGATATTGTAATTTTCTTTTTGGTCTCTGTGTGTGCATTTTGACAAACATCGGTCTTCTTGTAGTTTTGTTTGTTGATGATTTTGTGTTCTATATTCATTTCATAATGAGTGAGTTTGATTATGTTTAAGTGAAAAACTAAAAATTGGTTTGGTTTTGGAAAAATTGGGAAAGTATTATTATTTTTATTTCTCCTATTATTATTGTTGTTAAATTTGATTTGGATTGAGAAGGAAATTGAAGAATGACACAAAGTCAGCAAGACAATATCAAAGCTAAGACTGTTGTAGAGGAAAGTGTGGAAGGTCCAACTAAAAACCTAAGTACCGTTGTTCAACATGCTAAAAATAATAATGAGAGACAAGATGCTGAAGAAGTAGCGCCACCAACGAAGAGGAAAAGGCAGCTAACATCTGATATTTGGAATCATTTTACAAGGTTGCCATTAACCCAAACCAAAGGGAAACATAAGGCGAAGTGTAATTATTGTGGCATAGATTATGCAAGTCATCCAACTAAAACTGGGACAAAACAGTTGTGGCGGCATTTTGAAAAGTGTCCCAAGAATCCAAACAAAGCAAGCAAGTCACAAACTGAAGGGAATTGAAAGACAACGCGCAGCGGAAATCAACTTAAAAATTTTAAAACTTTCAATCCCTTGCCCGGATCTACCGATCTCGTTTAAGTCAGGTAGTAAGAAGCATTACCTTCGGTGTTCGATTTCCTGGTGGCTCGGTGATTCCGCCGTTCAGGATGCCTCTGCTCGCCTCCTTTGTCGTTCGAAGTCGACAACTCCGGTCGGCTTCCTCTACTGGTATCCACACGAATAGCTCTCCAGTCACAAACTGCGTGCTAGCGCCCTTTTGTCCGTCTAGGGTTTTCAGAGAATCCATCCACTCTTATCTCTCTTAGGCCGTCTCTTATCTGCTGGTACTCTCACGCTTAAAACCCTAGCTCCTCATATCAAATATATAGGATGCTATAGGTTTAATGAATGATATTTAATTTCGAAATTAATCCTAAATTAATTCCGAAATTAATACAATATCAAATATTGCCTAATCAGATAAGAGAACAATTAAATAAGTATGGTTTATATTAAATCCATCTCACAGATTTAATTCACCTATTTATTTAATTCAAAATAAAGATATGACGGAATTAATTTATATAGATTTAATTTATCCTTATAAATTAAATCTAACAATTAATATCTCTTATATTTATATAATATGTATATATATACGAATTTATATATATATACATACACGTCCACCCTATATTATTCATTGAATCTGGACATATCTTAGATTCAATGAATCTGGACATATCTTAGATTCAATGAATCTGGACATCATAACTCGTGTTGGGCTATTTTGTGTGCGACCCTGTAGGCCCATATGAAGTTGGCAGTGGGCCATTAACTATAATGACTCACAAGTCGTAAGCGGTCTCTAGCAAGACATGACGACTACCCAAATCATATGAGGATCGTTGAACGATGTAACCTTTCATACAACCATATCGCGTCCCTTTTGTCACACGACATTTTGATCATGGATGAGGCATGGAGAACGTCATCCTCCTATTCATGACCGTTACTTTCTCGATCCCTGAGTAGTCTGAGTATAGAAACGGAACTACCTTTCCATTATAGTATGGCCATACATTTCTCAGACTCACTCATCGAGGGGCCCAGTAATGTCTCTCTACGAATGTGAGGGACAAATTCCATCTTGACCATTCACATTCCTCCGCATGAAAAACCACTAAGCCTGAACATAGTCTTTATGATCACTCGGTCAAAAGTGACTTTTGACTAGGTCAAAGCTAAGCGTTTCTCATGTAGGAATCCATGATGATCTCAGTCAAAGGGCACAGTGACATGGTTTGTATATGAGAGAAGCTTATGACTTAACCCATGCAGCTCTCTCATAGCGGGTCGGTCCAACACCTTGTATTCTTACATGTGCCTATGACTTTAATTTATATCTCTATATATCTTTAAAGTCATACTTGTCTTATTTCATCTCTGCTCCCATATAGATGACCGACCAGGGACATTTAGGATAAACCATGAGTTATTCAAGGATAGTCATCACAGTAAACATGCAAATAATATGATAACATAATTAATAAATTCATAAATTAACAATGTTCATAGCAATATGATTGGCCCCTAGGGCACAATTTCCAACACAAACCATGTTGACTGCTATGTCTTCTCAATCATCTCAATCGTATCGCTTGTTCAACCAAGAAAGATGTAGAAAGGCTCTTGCAAGGTTCATCATAAAGGATGAATTGCCTTTTCGAGTTTTGGAAGGGGAGGGTCTAAAAGAACTTTTGCAAGAGTTTGAACCTAGGTTTCAGATACCTTCACGATGGACAATTGCTAGGGATTGCTACCAATTGTATTTGGAGGAAGCAAAACATTTGAAAAGATATTTCAAGCGATCAAAATGCTGTGTGTCATTGTTGGACTTCAATACAAAACTCCAACTATATGTGTTTGATTGCACATTGGATTGATGAGAATTGGACTTTACAAAAAAGGATTTTAAATTTTTGTGTCATTGAAAATCACAAAGGGGATACAATTGGCAAGCAAATTGAGGATTGTTTATTCAGCTGGGGCATTGAAAAAGTCTTCACAATTACAGTTGACAATGCTTCTTCTAATGACACTGCAATTGCCTATTTGAAGAAACGGTTGAAGAGTTGGAATGGTCTAATATGTGATGGAGAGTTTTTGCAAATGCGGTGTGCAGCTCATATTTTGAATCTGATTGTTGGTGAAGGTCTAAAGGAAATGAATAAGTCTATTGAACTTATTCGGCATGCAATTAAATTTGTTAGATCTTCTCCAGCTAGGCTACAGAGGTTCAAGGAGCTTGTTGAAAAGGAAAAAATTGATTCGAAGAGTTTGCTGACTTTGGATTGCCCCACGAGGTATTATTTGCACTATAATTGTATTATTTTCATATTATGTCCATTTTCACTTGATAATTCTTAATTGTTTATTTCTTATTTGTCATGTGATTAGGTGGAATTCAACTTATCTGATGTTGGAAAATGCTGTCAAGTTCATCAAAGTCTTTGATAGGATGGAAGAAGAAGATCAAGATTACAAGGATTACTTTAAGAAAAAGGTTAAACTGTTTTCAAACCAACAGGGTGTTGTCTTAAGTTATGATGATGACGATGATGATGCTGATGTCATTGACACAACATTAGGAAGGGCCACAGCTGAACCACCTACTGCATATGATTGGAGTGTGGCTAAAGAGTTTCTTGTGTTTTTGAGGTTGTTCTACACTAAGATCCTCAAATTTTCTGGATTAAATTTTGTAACAACAAGTACATGCTTTCAACATATAGTTGCAATTCAGACTCACCTTCATCGAAGTGCAGCTAGTGAGTACTCTCTCTTGAGTGACATGGCAAGGAGAATGCAGACAAAGTATGATAAGTACTGGGGAAAAGCAGAAAAAATGAATCCGTTGCTGATCATAGCAGTGATCCTTGATCCTAGATTCAAGATGACATATATCAAGATTGCTTTTGAAGACATTTTTCCTGAACCTACAAAGCGAGAAGCCATGTTGAAAAAGACTATGGATGTCTTGTATCGATTGTATGATCACTATTTTGCTAGTGTTGCTGAGCTTGATCATGGTGAAGCATCTAAATCTCAATCAATAGCGGATCAACAGCAAGTCCATGATAGTGTTGGAACTGGGGATGATGACATTGACATGTTATTTCATGATGATACTGATTCTACATTTCAAAAGTTCCTGGCCACTGCAGACACCGTTGTTAATGCAGAGAAAATTTCTGAAGTAGATGAATACCTTCAAGCATATTTAGGTGGTTTTCGTGATCCAAAATTTGATGCCTTGGCATGGTGGAAAGTGAATGCTCCCAAGTATAGAGTTTTGAGTGTAATGGCACGTGACTTGTTGGCTGCACCGGTCTCTACAGTATCTTCTGAATCAGTTTTCAGTACTGGGGGTCGAATACTGGATAATTTCAGGAGCTCTTTATCTGCAAAGATGGTTGAGGCACTCATATGTGCTCAAAATTGGCTATGCAGTAGTACTCCAAGACTCAATGACCTTGAACTAGATAATTTTATTGAGAGTGCAAATGTCGTTACTGGTATTTTAACCTTCAACAATATTTTCAATTTATATTGTTTTATCTTGTTATTAAATATTAATGAATTGATTTTTTTTAATTTGTTTTGTAGAGCAAGAGTCATTGGTTCCAAGTACAGCCACTTCCTCAAGTAACTCTGAAGGAGAAGCTCATGATTATGGTGGTGATGATGATGATGAGTGATTGATGATGATTTGATGATGATTAATCCTTTACAATTTTATATTTGTGGTTGTCCTCTTTTGAAGCTTGAACCCTTGAACATTAGAAATTTGTGATGGTTTCTGATTGTATGGACTATGGAGTTTAGATTTTGATTAATGGTATTATAATTTTCATCTATTTTGATTTTTGAATGCGAATTGCGAACAGCCCCTGAACAGCACCTGATTGTTAAACGGGTTCCCCATAACCTGTTTAAGCCCGCCCACTTAACCCAGCCCGTTTAGGGACGGGCTTAAACGGGTTATGTACGGGTACGGGCCACCCCGTACCTGTTAATGCATAAACGGGCGGGCTGTGGGTTTGGGGCCGGGCTGCCCAACCCGCCCGTTGCTCTGGCCTATTCATAACTAAATATATGTATTGCTATAAGCCTGGAAGGTATTATTCACATGTAGAATATAAGAATTTACAAATATGATAGGGTGATTCACAAGAAAAACAGTACCATTTACAAGTAAAATAAAGTCATTTACAAATAGAGCTACCATTGGGTTTAAGTTTGGGAGTTATCATTCACAAGTAGAATACAAGAATTTACAATCAAGATATAGTGATTCATGAGAGAAATATGGGGGGGGATTAGTCCACTTGTAAATGACCCTATTTCACTTATGAATCACCATATATTGGTTGTGTATTCTCGTATTACACTTGTGAATGATAACTCTTAGACTTATAGCCAATGATAGCTCTACTTGTAAATGGCCTTAATCTACTTGTAAGTGGCCCTGTTTCTCTTGTAACTCTTAGTATTTGCATGAAGGCATGATAATTATGATTCTTTACTACTGGGATTTCTTTGAAATCTCACTCTTATGTTTAAACACCACCTAGGAGGGAGTTCAAGCAAGAACAAGGGCAAGGAAGTAGTTTCGGAGGCCAAATGAATATTTACTATACCCTAGAATGACTTTTGCAACTTGTTACGGAATGTTACAAATTATGAAATGTTTGTTGGATAATAGCTCCTAATAGGAGCCAAACATGTATGTCTATGTTTAAACATGTAAAAGTATATTAGAATGTATGTTTAAGTATGTGTTAAGGCCCATATGATTAAGGATGGGTAAAAGGTTAAGAAGAGATAAAACCAAGTATGAATAGGGGACAAACTTTCCTTAGAAATAACCAAACTTGGGACACGTGAAATAAATAGCAAATGTTTGAATCTAGACTTAAAATTTAGCAAACTTATAGGAAAAATTTTTAGCTTTAAATCAAGTGGTAGATCATTAAATTTGGAATTTTGTGCAAAGAGTTATGCCCTTTCAAAGTTGGGCAAAAATACTGAAAATTTCAGAATTTACCAAATGAATAGTACATGTTTTCGTGGAAGCTGGTACTGACCCATGAGGAAATGATATCCATGATTATTTTTTCTATGTAGAGCTTTTTATATGCTTCACGTGAGATTTGGAGCCACTCTATTTTGATTTTTTTACATTTAGTTATGATTTTTCAAAGTTGACCCAATTTTAAGGGTTACATGAATAGTAACAAAAATAAAATTTTTAAATCCTTGGTTTTCACCTACTTTAAGTACAGTGTAACGCTTCCAAATGGTTCCTAATGATGCATAATGGGGTTTAAAAATGAAGATGTGGCATTTTTGGTATCAGAGCAAAGGTTCTGGACTGTCTGTTATATGTATTGTTCAGTATAGTAATGCATCAGGATAATGTATATTTGATTGTGTGTGATATGTTACGTCGTGAAAGGTGTGTATTGGACTAACCTTGGTGTAGGATATGGCTTGTTGTGAGCATGATTCTCCTGGGGGTACAATTGATCAGAGAAGGCCAGGGGAACTGTACCTAGACTGGTACCACCCACATGTTCCCGACCCTGATGACCCGCCTCCACCACTCGGATATTATCAGCCTCTCTGGGAGGTAGAGGATATAGTTCCCGAGGTAGACTCCAATAGTAGCAAAAGGTTAGAGGATGGTGATGTCGGGAGCGCTGTGAGGCCTAAACCCAATCTGGATGAAGCGGGCCCCAGTAGGACGAAGCCACAGCCTCTCAGAGCAGTACGCCATAATTAGATCTTGGTGAAGGACCTGCCTCTGAAGAAGAGGCTGCGGTTAGTCACGAAGGAGATGCACACCTATCAGACTATTTTTGAGGAGCTCTGTGAGCTGGGGAGGCAGATTGACATCTCCCAGAACTAGTATGGGTTTATCTATATGGACTATTTTTACTACATATGACTGTTACATAGTGATATCATTGACCAGGATAAGGGAGAGATAGATGGGAAGATGTAGCGCTAGGCTTTAGTTGACTCTTTGCCAAGGACCCCCATTTGGTAGGATCAGGTCCAGTTGGTTAGTGACCGTTCCAAGCAAGGTGCCTATGAAAGCTTTGATCAGATCCTGGATGAACTTGAGCTTTTTGTTACTTCTTATTTTTCTTTCTCTCCCATGTCTTGAGTGGATGACTGTATATATAACTTAGATGATTTATGTTTTAGACGCTTATACCTGAAACTTATCTATGTACAAATATGAACCATAGCTTAATATAAAATGTTTTGATGACTAAGTAATAATCTTATTCCTCTGTTCCTCTTGTAGTAACAAGTTAAGTAAAATGGTGAGAACCTGAAGAGAAACACAACGAAGGGAGGTAGTAAGAGAATCTCCTATTAACCCAATTCAATTGGTTATGGACCGACTAGAGGAACAACAGAAGGTAATGCAAGAAATTTAGGCGGCTTAAGCCCGCCAAAACTAGAAACGCGATGCTGCCATAGCAACCTCAGAGACAGCAGTGATAGCACAGCTGTAACAGGCCGGGCCAAGAGTGGCCAAGGCACCACAGCCAACTCAACCCCAAGAGCTGGCAGCTGAGTAGGTGCGACCTGCAGGGGACCTTGATTCACAAAGGCAGTGGATCAAATGATTCAGTGCACAAAATCCCCCAAGCTTCACAGGGACATTTATTATGAACAACCGTTGCAACTGCCAACATACGCAAACAATATCTCAACAGTTATAAGCTTATGTTTCTAACAGAAAGTTGAAAGTCTCTAACTAGAAAAACTGCGAAGAGCATTGAATGAGTTGAACTACCAATTGTCAAATTAACTTTTCACACTCAATACTCTATTTTCCATTATGAGCTTCAGTGTTTATCTTATACACTTTTAAGAGAGAGTTTGTAAGTCATTTATTACTTTCAACGAGTAACTCAAGAGTCTGGGACTCTTGAGGGGATTTTAACTTTGTGGGAAGTATGGGGGAGTGATTGAGAGAGAGCTCAATTACTGTACTGTGGCACCAAGGGCCTATTAAATCTTGGGTATAGTGAAAAACTTAGAGGTGTTCTGAGAACTAGATGTAGCTAGGTCAAGTGGATGAGACCGAACCAATATAAATTCTTGTGTATTCATCTTCTGCTCTTTATCAGTGAAATCCCTCCGAACTTATTTCCTTTTCTTTACTCTGTTAGTTGTTTTTAAAAGGTAAAATTTTTATCACCCAATTCACCCGCTAGTGAAACTGCCACTAACTTTATGTGCTCCCTTTCCATGGCACGATAATATAAATAAATGTGTGAGAATTTTGATTGCATATAACATGAACTAACCTTGCATTGTTAATATTATAATTATTGTTCTTTGCTACTAAAATTTTCTTGAAATCTCGCCCTTTTTTGTATATAATTGAAAACGAGGGGTTGGATCATCAAGAGAGAAAGGAAAGAATGTGGAGGCCTAAAGGAAGCTTGCATAAATTCTCATGTATTTATGAACTTTTCAATATTCTGTAATTATGGATTATAAGAAGAACTATGTATTAATATATGCTTGTATGAATTGTTGCTCCCACCTCTTAGAAGGTATCATTATGCATAGTACATGATGGTATGAATGGTTTGTCAAAAAATGGAAGTTAGGGATTAGATTTCTCAAGTTAAGGCAGTTAAAAAGTGATAGAGATACTTAAAAAGCCTAGTTCTTGAGGCTACTACTTTTTAAACCAAATGATAGAATCTGGCCATGAAAATTGGTGAGCTTAAATTCTACATCCTAATTTTCAAACAAAGTGGTAGATCACCTAATTTGCAGTTTTGTACAAAAACTTAGGAATTTTTGAAGTTATGATAAAAAAACTAAAAAATAAAAATTGACCAAATAAACAAGTCTTGTTACACGAAAAATGAAGCCTGAATAGAATTGGTAATGGACCAGTGACTATTTTTCCTATGCAAAGAAATGAATGAACTTTAAATAAAACTTAGAACCATCTCATTTTGATTTTTCTAGAATTAATTATGGATTTTCAAATTTAGCTGAAATTTTAGAGTTACCAAATGAATAGTAACTAGAGAAAATGGTTTTTCAAAGTATGATTTTGTAAGTTTAATGCCATACAGTGTGGTTTTTTTTTTTTTACATGTTTTTGTTTCACATATGGTTGTAAGTTAAGGTGTTATACAATCTATATAGGAAAGTCTTCCCTAAGGATTCTAACACTAGTCAATCCTCCACTTCCATCATTGAATAACTTATAAAATTAGGCTTCCCATTAATCTTTAATATATCCATCAGTAACTAAAACTTTGCCTTCTTCATCTTTTATACATCTTGATCCAAATCTATTGATTTTCTCTTCTTATTCTTTGCAATCTTGTAGATCTTATGTTCCCCATCCTAGTTCTTTATACAACTCCTCAAATGCTTTAGAATGAGTTTCACTCACTACCTTCTTGGTCCTTTTTTTTTCCTTAACCCAAGTGACATCTTTCACAATTTTTAGCCTAATTTTTAGCATTATTACAGAAGTACATGGTTTAAAACAATCTCTCTTATTCTTGACATTCTCCTGTACATTCTCATTCCACTATCAAGTCTCTTTATCTTGTCAGCCAAGACCTTTTAATTCTCTCAAAATTGTTTTAGCAGCCTTGTGAAACTTCTTGGTCATTTTCCTCTACATGATATTAGCATTTCATTGCAACTCTTGAAAAGAATTCTCTTGAAAATCTCATGCTTCTTTCCTTTTAACTGTCACTACCTGAATCTTAGGGTTAAAACTTGTTAGTGATTTTATTTTATACACTTCATATGCACATCAAGGACAAGACCCTATATTATGTTGTCACATCATCTCTAAGAATCACTTCTCAAATTGTATATAGCCTTATGTCAAAATTCCTTACAAAAAAGAAGTCAATTTGCGACCTAGAAGGTCTACTCTTGTACTGATTAAATGCTCCATCCATTTCTTAAAGCAAGCGTTAACAATCTTAAGGTTTTATGCTATGAAGAAGTCAATTATAGTTTGTCATTCATCATTAGGCACCTCAAAACCAAAACTACCATGAGTTCCTACGTACTGAACCGTGTTCTAATCAACATGTCCATTAAGATCCCCACTAATAGAAATCATTTTCAAGAAGGCTATGCCTTGAATTAGCCTCTTTATATCCTCCTAAAATTTTTCCTTCAGGTATGCTTTGCTCCTACTTAAGGTGCATAAGCTTGACAACGTTGATAATATCTCTTCCAACGATGATTCTTAAAGATATGATTTTATCTCAATCCTTTTAACTTCTACTAGGTTTTTGCTCATGCTTTATCAATGATGATAACAACCCCGTTCTTTTTTAATTTTTGTTTTGTTAATTTTCTCTAGTGCCCCTTTCACTCAACTTTACACTTTGCATATCGTGCTCACTTCGGTGGCTTGTCCTTGTTTATATTATCTCTTTGTCCTTCTAACTCTTCGTTCATCATCACTACAGTCTCTACCTATCTCTCACCTTCTCTCAGTTATCCAAGTTGATTTTAAGACAATTGTTCTGAACAAATTATATATATATATATTGTTTTTATTAATGCAGTTTTTTTTTTAAACAATCATTCAAACAGAATTTTTTTATTTTTTTTCAAAATGTTTTTTTAATAAACTCAGCATCATAATAAGTGTGTTTCTTGATATTTAAATTTGTGTTCTCCTCCTTACAGGGTGAGGCAGCTTACTATCTTAACGAACAATTTGTTGATAAAATTTGTTTTAAAACGTAACCAAAATCATTCTAAAAACATAAACACAAAAAAAAAAAAATCTAACAAAACTTTTATTTTGGTTATATGGGCGGCTTAGAATTTCTAATTGCAGAACTCGGAGGAGGAAAACTTTAGCACGTCAACCTTATGAGTTGTGACTGCTTTAACCCGAAAAGGGTGGTGACAAACTTAAAAAATAAGAAAGAAAGAAAGAAAAAGAGAGCACAACTTCAGTTTGCTCTTCTTTTTTTTTTTTTGCCCCATATGAATACTGTACTTCCTAACTATAAACACTATAATAATATATTCCAAAAAAATCTATACTAAAAATCATTTTAATTTTCAGACTCAAAGACGAGTGAATTTGTGAGTATAAATAGTAGTCATATAAACTTCAAATATTTTTGTCAACTTCCAAACTAGTTTTTTTAAGTGAAAGAGTAATGAGAAAATTAGTATTTGTCAACATGTCATTGTCTATGGAGGTCATTTAATAAAATAACTTTAAATCATGGAAATGCGTCACAGCTCGATGCCTCAAAGTTGTCTAAAGAATAATTTCGTGATAAGCCCTTTTTCTTGTTTCCTTCCTAACTAGACGCCATCACTGACAAACCTGTGACTATATAGTTATATACCTTCTTTAATTGTACGAATGAAAATAGGGAATTATAATTATAGTAAGAAAATTACACGTCACATATGTTTAAAACAGGTACGACTAAAACCATTAAACCAATATTAATAGAGATTTGGCTCAGATGGTACAACGGAATGAATATTCCTTAAATAATTTTTCAAGTTCAAATTAACCACGCGAGTGAAAAAGGTTATGTTAGCAAAGGTTTCTTCCACACTTAAAGTATTAGATTCTGAATGATTCTTGAAAAGAAAAAATTTTGATGTGTGACTTCTTGTCTTTAAAATTTTTATTAATTCGATTCTCACACATGGTTTTTTTAAAAATTTTATAATTGATATATTTATTGATGATAGTGATATTTATAGCCTTTGAAAAACAGATATTTAATTAAATGAGCTAATTATTTCGAGCTTGAACAGAAAGAGTCTTCAACAATAATTATATATACCTAATATAATAATCAAAGTTAATTTGGTGCTTGTTCGTAGATTCTAGAGAAATTCATATAACTGGTGAGTTAATGTGGACTATACCAACTTTCATAATACCTCTTATCCTTATTATAAAACCTCGTTTATAGACTACAAATGAGATCTTATAATTAGAACTGGAAGTAATAAAAAGAAGTTAGAAAAAGATAAAAAAGAGAAGATCATCAGGTTTTTTTATTGCTGATATATTGATGACTTAATTAAAAAGGACATGCAAGCGGGTGGATGCTGTTAGAAAGTTCATTACTTTTCACAAATTAAAAAGTATATAATTCTAAGTAAGGTGGACAAATCCACAACCATCACCTGGCTTTCACATTTCGTTTCCCACCAAACTTGTTCCATTATTGTGTATTTTGATTTGAAGGTTTACAATATCAACATGATTATGTAAACTTTTGAATTAAAACTATAAAAAGTACTCGCATCACAATCAAATTTTGTTTCATTTAGTAATCTTACATCAAACCTTATCGCAAGTAATAGTAATTATTTTTAATTAATTAGGATAGAGTGATCCTTAACAAATCTTTTCTCTTTCGTAGTTCTATTTATCACTTTTTTATTTTATAAATATATAACCATCAGGTATGAGAGTACAGATCCAAAACATACTATTACATTCTTAACATCTTTGATGTCCATGCATATATCAAAAGAAATCCCCTCAAAATGCTTTATTTATTCAGACAAATGTAAAACAAACAACGCAGGAATCAATTAACCCTCGTTTTTGTGACTCGTTTTTCTCTCCTTTCATGTGAAACACTGTCAACAATTTTATTATTACTAATATTATTACAAAAAACAAAGAACGTAAATTTGATTAGACACACGAGGACCCACTTTATGTATATAACTCCATATAGCTATACCATTATTAATTATTCTCCATACAAGGCCACATCGATGAGTCTTTCGCTCACATTATTGTGCACCCTGTTGCGTTGTCTTCGTTGAAGTATTGATCACAACGGCTAACGCAGTAGCAAGGTCGTCCTCCGCCATAGCTATCATAAACAGGCCTCCCATAATAACACCCTCCGTAACATGGTGGGGGTCCGCCATAACCTTCAAAGCATGGCCCACCGGGCCTTCCTTCATAGCATGGAACACAACACACTCCAATTGGAACCGGTGTCGGCTTCGGGCACGGCTCTTTAGGCTTTCCGCCATAACCTTCAAAGCATGGCCCACCGGGCCTTCCTTCATAGCATGGAACACAACACACTCCAGTTGGAACCGGTGTCGGCTTCGGGCACGGCTCTTGAGGCTTTGGGGGTGGCGGCTTGGGCTTCTCAGGCTCATCTGGCTTGGGGGGTGGCGGTGGCGGTTTGGGCTTCTCAGGCTCAGCTGGCTTGGGGGGTGGCGGCTTGGGCTTCTCAGGCTCATCTGGCTTTGGGGGTGGCTTCGGCTTCGGGGGTTCAGGTGGTTTGGGCTTTGGCGGTTCGACGATTTCGATGCTTTTGATGGCACCACAAGCTTTACAGCAAAGCTTATCCCTTATCTTCTCTGGGCTACAGCACACCACTTTAATGGTCACAATGTTCTGCTTCTCATCGAACACCTGGTCTCGAATTTCTCTTGTTCACAAAATTCCAAAACAAACAAATCCACAAGATGAACTCAATTTGTGATTCCAAATCAACACTCATGAGAATTTCATCACAAGATCACTCCAAATTGCAAAAGAGAAACGAAGAAAAAGAAGTGAAAAGGGAGAGAGAAAAGGAGCAGAGAGTATTCTGAGAAACTCACGAGGGAATTTACAGAGAACCTTCTTGACCTTCTTGTAGCATTTCTCACAGTGTAGATCAACCTTGAGCCTCATTATTGTCACCTAAACATAATTACCAGGAAGGAACAGAATCAATCAGGTTCGATCTGATATGATTCATGATATTTCATCATATTTGAATGATCAAACGGAAGAAAAAAAATGAGGATTGTTGAAGGGATCAAAAGGAAGTGTACCTTTTCAGCCATGGCTAAAAGATGAGGAGAGCTCAGATCTGAGGGATGAAAACGATGGAAGAAGAAATTTATAGTAATAATAAAAGTAATGGGGGAAAAAAAGGCGAAGAAAGTAATGAAACAGAGGGACTGAGAAGGAAAGCAAAGAAAGGGTTAAGTAGGGAATTGCTTAGGCCTCACTACAAGGGCCGACCTATCACATGCTTACACGTGACACCGTATTGAAATTCATGCACTGGTTAGAGTTGTCGTTATATGGAAGGTGAAGTGCGCGCGAGTTTGTGAGAGTGTCAGTGCACCTTTTTTATGCTAGCGGGATCCGCAATTCAGCGAACTCCACATTCTCGTGGACTCTTTAATTACGTTTGGACGTTCCAAAATCATCATTGCATCAAATTTTTTTTTTAAAAAAAACATAGTATCTTGGATCTTTAATATAAAAATTAGATTAATAATTTTAAAAATTAAAAAAATTAGTTAAGTTAGTTATTTGTAATAAATGTGTGTGACTTTTCTAAATTACTTTCATTTAATTATGTACATTAGAATTACACTTAGTTGAAAATACCTTACAATCAATAAGAATATTTTTCGAACACATTATAAATTTGAGAGACAAAATAGATTGAGATATTCTTCCTGTCCTTAATATAGGACCTAATTGTTAAGTTAATTTGGTCCTAAATATAAGACCTATTTTTTATATTTATTAATTTTTTCTAAATTACCCCTATGGATACTCCCTCAACTATAATCAAGTAAGTGATGGAAGGAGGATATTAAAAAAGATGATTATGGTGTTTTAAGAAAAACATGTCATATTTCTTATAATTAACTAACTTACCTAACTTTCTTAATCTAATCAAATTAGTTAAATAGGTTTTATATTAAGGACCGAAGAAGTATTATATTTAGGATCCTTAATTAGCTTTTATATTTAGGATCGGAGCTAATATCAGCAAATCTTTACAATAGGATTTGCATCCCTAGCTACATATGAAAGTTCTTTTTCTCCTCTCAAAGGGAGTGCATTTAGATTAAAATAAATTTATTATAAATAAAATAAAAATATCACACTTTACTTTTATACCTTATTTTATGTCAATTGAAATCATTTGGAGTTGTTTATCATGGCCTTAGGTTGAAAAAATTTAAACTTGAAATTTCTTGAAATTTGGGTTACTATTCATTATAACCCTTACAAAGGCTAAATTTTGAAAATTCATAACTAATTCTAGAAAAATAAAAATGAGATAATTCCAAATTCTATAGAAAGTTCTTAACATGCTCTTTAAAAAGAAAAAATACTCATTGGTATCCAAAACTCATGCATTAAGCCCAGATTTCGTTCCAAGTGGTACTGTTTATTTGGTCATTTTTCAACTTTCCAAGATTTCTGCCCAAGTTTGGAAGAGCATAACTTTCTGTACAAAACTCTAAATTTGATAAAATACCACTTGTTTTAAAGCTAAAGATATGATCTATAAGCATGTCAAATTTCAACTCAAGACTCATCCAATTGCTCAAAATCACATTAGTCAAATTTGACCGTTTAAAAGTCAACTTTTATCCCTTTTTGCAATTTTTGCCTTTTTCTTTTCACATAGCCTTTCCAAACATATAGTACATACTTAAACATAATTCCTTACTCAATTTTTCACATATAAAGCATCCTCAATTATTAATACAATATCCAATAGAATTGCAATAATACATAATGATTCTAATATTACAAAACTCATGCATAAAATTCAACATAATGTCATCCAACTTTCACACTATTCTTCCTTGAGATGGCATCCCCTCCTTGCCTCTATCTACGCCACTCGTTTGCCCTATTGGTATTGTTTAAACATAGAGGGGAATGAAATTTCACAGAAATCTCAGTAGTAATAAACTATAATTATCATGTTAATTATGCTTTACAAAATGCGACATGTCACAGTGCATAATAATCATTTCCAATTCCATGAATAGCACATTATTTCATCAAGGAAATTAGTACATATCCACATTTCATATCAATATGCATTTGGCCAAAGCATGTCAAACATCAAAAAACATTCCATACCATAGCGTAAATCAATCATTTCATAGCAAAACAAAGCAAGCAACACATACACATTCAGTAAGCAAGGAAAACAATCAAATTAGATTCAATGCTAACTCTTACACTTGAACGAAATTGGTCTTCTCAAAGGGTTTATACTCTCCTTGATTCTTCTCCATAAACCTTATCAATTCAAGTGTAATTATAAACCATATTAACAATCATTCAAGCTTGAACACAAATTTTTAACCTTAAATCTTCTTAACCCCCCTTTTTTTTGATTTTTAACATAATTATTCCTCCTTTGATTCCATCAACCTCTTGGTCCCTTCCTACATAATTTTTTTATGTAGAATCCAATTATCAAATCAGATTTTTCAAAATCACACTCCTTCCCTTTTATTTTAGTTTTGCCGAATAGGGACCTCTTTTGATTTAAAATTTTTATTTTTGATTCCAATGATTTTAAACACTTTTTCTTGGTGTTTCCCTATACAAAAACATGTTTTCAACTAGTTGGAACCATCAAAATACATCAAAAAAAGCTCCAACCTCATGAACATGTCATAGCCGACTAGGGTGCTATAAAACCCTAACTTGGTTTTTTTTTTTTCCAAAAATCAATCTAAACACCACTTAAACATGATAATTCTAACTTATTTTAAGGATTCTATCCTTCTCTAATCATTGTTCATATCAACCAAAAATGAACAGCATGCAACCTTGGAATATTGTCATGAATTTCCATTTGTAACAAGCTTTAAACTCAACCAAAACAAAGCTCAAACTTACCTTAATCAATCCTTGATTAAAGCTTGACACTTCCTCCTCAATTTGTACGGTTATAAGCTCTCTTCCAAGGAAAAGAATTTAGTTTGGCAGCATCTCCCCATAGCTTTTCTATTTGGCCGAATTATATGGAATTTAGGGGGTCTTTATGGACCAAAAAAATCTGACCTCCCCCCCCCCCAAATCAATGGCCAAAATTTGGCTAACAAAATAGCCATATGGCTCCCATCAAACCTTCTAATATTTCAGATCATGCCATGTGTCCATATTCCAAGAATATTACATTGATTTTTATCTGAAAATTGGGTTTAAATCCATTTAAATTATTAGGCCAGGTTTGCATGAATTTTTGGGCTTTTCTTGGGCCAATGTAGGGCCCACTTTTGATATGAAAAGTCTCAAGAATTTAGCCAAACAATAAAATATTAATTTCAAACAATATTGAAGCTCAACATTACTATTCATTGTAACTTTTCATAATTTTTCTAGATCTTCAAAATTGCATTTTTCTTCATAAAAAATTCTATTTTAATATAAGAATGCAATATGAAAAATTCTAGAATTTTTCTCTACCTCTAACTATTTATTTTGAATTTTCCCCGAATAGGGCTTTATTAGTAAGATTTTTGGGAATAAATTTCTAAAATAATTTTCTATACTTTTAGGGCTTGAAAATAATTTTATAAATTCTAATAAATATTTAGATAATTATCTCATATTTTTTCTGGAATTATCGTGGCCTCTAAATATTTATAATAATTATTTTCACTCACTTTCACTATTTTTCTCGAAAAACCTTTGTTTTCAAGAAACTCCGTATTAATCTATTTTCATACCATTTTTACTTTAGGATCTCTATTGAGGTTCCAAAACCTCTAATTTACTTTTTTTTACTATTTTTTGAGAATTGTTTAAATTTTTTTTCAAATTTTTTCATTTTGCCCCTTCTGGATTGATAATTTCAAAAATATCAATCTTGACTCTATTCTGATTTTTTATTATGTCTAGTTTCGTCAGCAAGTCTACCTTCCATATTGGCTCTTGACTTAATTTTTCATATCCATTTTCAGAGTTAATTTTTACAGGATGTGACAAAAATGTATAAATAATATAAATTTGTTGTTTTTATGACTGCAATATAATATAGTTGAGTATTAAAAATAAGATGTAAAGGATCCAAATCTTTATAATCATTATCTTTAAAACTAACATTGTTTCAACGGTGCATAAGACAAGCCATTTATGCCAAATGGATTTTTAAAGTTCCTTATTGTGAAGATATAATCAAGGTGTGTGAGTGAGTGTTTATGTTCATCTCAAATGTATTTTTTTTTTGTTTCGCATAGATATTCTGTTTGAAACAATCATGTTTAAAGTATAGTTAGATTCTAAATGTGAATATATCTCTCAATAGCGATATGATGAAATTTTTTAGATATATAAATGCAGATATAGATCGCATACATACATATAACTACAAATTATATATATATATGTTGGCAAATATATCTATATACATACATATATATATATATATATATATATATGCTTGCTATGAATGAAAGCTAGGTACAAGCCCGTAATTGTTGCCCGCTAAAGCCAGATTACTTATTTTAGGTTTTTTTAAAATATAATTAAAAATTATAGTAAATTATACCATTCACAAATTATGAATAATATGTCATATTTAAAGTCTTCTTTCTTTTTTTTTTGCCAAGCAAAATTTTTTCAGAAAATGACCACAAAATACCATATAAAAATCAAGAAGACAGAATAGGCATCCAAATAAGTAAAATGACCAAATGGGCATCAGGTATCAATTTGGAATTATCACTTTTGGCGTAAAGACTGAAATGCTTTGATTGTTTTTGAAAACTGAAGAGTGTATTCTTGCGATGGAGAAAGGGAGAAACTGACTTTCTCCACTCAGCGAAACTAAATCCAAGTTCCTCCAGTCACCGAAAAGGGGTTTTCTGAAATCACATTACTGCCGTCACAGGAGTAGATTGTTGTCACTGAAGTTGGTTACCGTCGTTGAAGTACATTGCCTTGTTTGAAGTAACTTGTACTCCCTAAGACCACCGTCGTTGAGGAGGTCATAGAAGTAACGCCGACTGTGATAAACAGGTAGGAGGCTTGAATATTGTTTTTCACAGCATTTTTGGTGGGTCCCTAAAGTTTAAAATGTAATTGTCTAGCATTCCTTTTTCTAGTTCCGTCTCTATTCTTTGCATATAAGTTGC